TTTTGCTGTTATTGTTATTTCTTTCCTCAACGAACAAGAAAAAGAGAAAGACAATATCCTCAACAGGGTTTGATACCCCACCTTTCAGTCTGCTCCAGATTACGAGCAAGTGTGTGCTGGCACACTCAGGGTAGTCTCTGGACTTAGATTTGGAGACTTTCCATGTGAGATTGCTTCACAGAGCATCTTTCTTTCTTTCTTTCTTTCTTTCTTTCTTTCAACACTGGGCCACCATCTAGTCTCCTGTTTCTTTCTTTAAGAAAGCCCACCAGCCAAGGAAATTGATGTTTCTAATGTTTTCCTTCTTCGTAGCATATATTTCTTCAAATAATCTTAACATATGTATTGGAAGTTTTCCTTAAAAGCCATAGGAGGGATCCTTGAAGTCCTCATATAATTAGCATGACCTAAGTAAATACAGAGGTAGTAAAACAGAGCTGACATGGTGACACTGGTGAAAGGACATATAGCAGAACTAGTTAGAGTAAGTACCTGCCTAGGTGATGTGCTCCACAGCCTCAGTACTCAAAGAGTGCTTTGCAGACCAGGAACATTTGCACCACGAGAAAGCTTGGAAGAAATGGAGCATCTCTGCTCTGTATAAGATCTACTGAGCTAGAAGTTACATTTCTGCAAACACCCTGGTAATTTGCACACACTATACAGTTCAGGGACCTTTCAGAAGCACATTAGAGCTGTCTTTATCAATTAATCTTTCCCTCTCTCTTTTTCTTTGCTCCTCCCCTCCCTTGACCTCTCTTTTCTTCTCTCGCTCTATTCACTAGCCCTTTTCTTTTCTCCCTCATTGCTTTCTTGAGTATTTATTCTCACCATTTTTCTTTTTGGAGTTTTTTACTCTTCAACTAACATGGAATTTCTCCAAAGATTGTTTTTAATTTTTGTTGTTATTAATTTTTAACTGTTAGAAGGTAACATAGTTGGGTGAATGTGTCCTAAGTCATAAGCTTAATGGAAAACCCACTGTTCTAAACACCCACTTGCTGAGTACCTCACATTCTGGAACTGTTCCTTCAGAAAGAACAGAGAATACAACCCCAGGCTGACCAGAAGATGAGAAAGGATGCCTGATATATATCAATGACCAGCGATCTGCTGGTGGGGCAGAACATTAGGGGCAGGCTCTTCTGAAGCATGGTCAGATCTGAAAGGTCAAAGTTTAGGCAGGCACAAAGTAAAGAGAAGCAAGTGAAGCCACAGGGATAGTGAAGAGCAGGGACAGAAACACATTTCATCCAAGCCACCATCTTTTCTCTCATAGAACACTGTAATGATCTCCAAATAACCTCCCTTGCTGGTTTGGCTTCCACTTCCTCCAAACAGTTAACTGAGTAGAAGCCAGAGTGACCTTGACACCTTAAAACAGCACCCACTGAACTTGGAATTAAATCCACTCCTTCACTAAACAGTCTGTGGGATCCATGACCTGCCATCCCCTCACCTCAACCCTACCACTTGCCCCCTTGCCCACTAAGCACCATCCCTCTGGCCTGCCTTTTTTTCCTCACACACATCATGTTCTTGGGAACATTTCACTTGGTCCCACTTTATGGGACACTCTTGGTGGCCACTCCCTTTTCAGGATGGCAGAGGTCATTCTAGATCACTTAGCATCAAACCTCTCCGGGAAGTCACTCTTCCCTAACACCCTGTTGCACTCTGTGCAGAGCAATTCATATCTGAAATGGTTTGTTTACCTGATTATTGTATGATTTATTACATGTGTACCTAAGCTCTCTGAGAGCTGTGCTGGGGAGAAGAATGTGCTTCATTCTACATCCAGGCATAATTTAATCAAAGTAAGGAGGTGAGAGAACATAAATGGAAGAAATGATGCAATGAGTTCCTGGCTGACGAATGAGAACATGAGTAAACTTGTGGTATCAGACCTGAGTATCAGAAAGACTGGGCATAGGGAAAGGCAGTATTTATTTTAAAATGCAATTTTCTGAACCATACCCCTGAATCACATAATGAGATTATTCAGAGCTATTGCCCAGGAGGTGTATTTTTTAAAACCACTGCCATGATTCTAAAAAGGTTCAAGGTCATAGAACCACTAATTTAGTTAATCCCCTCTGCAGCTGCTAGGCTTGAACTGATCTTTTACTTTTAGAGCCCCTCAGTCTTCTATCACTCATGAAAACTTAACTATCTGTAGTGATGTGCTGTAAACAGGTATATAAAGGAATTAAGGAAACTCATTATTGACTTTCAGAAACATGTTAGTGGAGAAGTTCATTGATTCTAGTGTGCTTAAGAACACGGTTCAAGAGTCAGACTGTTCTGGGGTCTAATAGTAGTAGTAATAATTACTAGTAAGCTGCTTTGAGAAAGTTAATGAAGGAATACATTTAGGTTTCATCTACCCATTGTGCAACGATGACAGTAAAACTAGTGTCTACGTCACAAGGTGGTTGCTGTTTAATGGAGTCCTTAAAAGTTTTAGGCAGAGTTTAATACTTAGTAAATTCTCAATAAATATTTATTATTAGCCATTCAGAATAGAGTAAAAACCAAGTTTTATGTTAAATACAAAAAATAAATAAATGAAGAGAAATGCATTTTGTGTATATAATCTGTACCCTGTTAGGGTATTTCCTTCATGACTGTCCCTACTGCCAGTCATAGATAGCTATAGTTGCAAATAACAATTACTTCTTTAAGCTTTTGAAGGCTGAGCATTCCATAACCTAAAAAGGGGAAGAAAGAAGGAAAAAATATTTATTAATTAGTCTGTGCCTCCTCTGGGTTAGAAACTGTATTATGCCTTGCGCATGTGCGTGCGTGCCCAAGATCCTGAGAGGAGAATGGAGGAGAGGGGATGGCAGCCTGGTCATCTCCTCTGGGGGGTGATTTCTCGCTTTCTGTCTCTTTCCGGTGAGCACACATGCCCTATGGCAAAAACTTCTCAAAAAAAAAAAAAAAAGAAAAAGAAAGAAAGAAAGAAAGAAAGAGAAAAGAAAAAGAAAAAAAAAAACGTATTATGCATTCTGATAATAACTTTTACTGAAGTGCTATTTTCCAGTGTTTTCTAGATAGATACAGGGTGGATACTGCAATTGTTACTATAGCTTTTCAATCCCCACTTAGTAAATACGTACTATATCTCTACTTAGTCCTAGGCTCCATTGTAAAACTGAAAATTCCTGCCCTCATGGAGTTTATATTCTAACAAGTTAGAGTTAGTATGACAGTTAATGATAACAGCAGCAGTAGTATTATTAGTAAAAATTATGCCAAACAGCACAAATAAATAGTAAAGCAGACAAGCTAGTAATGAAATAAGCTAATTTCAAATAAAGACAAATGGAGAAAATAAAAACAGAAATCTGAAGGAATCAAAGGTTACTCTTATTATCAGAGTTCACACACACACACACAGCCTTCAAAATCTTCTCTGATAGAACAACTTGTAAATGCAGAGATCAGAATAATGAGGAAAAAAACAGCTATATAGTTCTGGGTAAAACCGTAACAGTCAGCAACTAGAAAGAACTCGTATTGTTAAAAGGCTTAATAGCGGCCTAAATATCACACATGCACACACACACACACACACACACACACACACACACACACGCACATACCTCAAAATCTAAAGAAAAGGAAGGAGTGAGGTCTAAACAACACAGGGTCTATGAGGAAATATGTCTTCTTCTGGGTTAAATTTGAATTTACATGCAAAATTGGGTCATATGCAAAACATGTGAAGTGAATATTTAATTGCTATTGTGAATTTATGACCCATAATTTTAAAGGTCAGCCAGATGTAAGAGGAAATTAATAATAATAATAATACATACCAGAATAGAGTGAGTTATTATAAAAATTAAGATGTAAAACTTTGATCACTACATTAAGTTCCTTAGTTTAAGATAGTGCACCAGGTATATATAATAACAAAAAGTAGTAAACATACCACTGACTGTTACAGAATGCCATTTTTCCTCAAACTACCTAATTTGGTGATGGTCTAACAAACACGGGTATTAGGAAGAGGCAGAAATAATAAGTATGAAAGACATTTTTATTAAATAAACATTGCTTAAGTGCCTACTAAACAGTGGTTACTGAAAATGGTTTTGGGTTAATGTTTTGAAGTCACTGTATAAAAAAGTAAAGGTGTAACAGTCCAAACTACTTTGTTCCTTTTTTATATACTATCTCTCTTACCATATATTAATTTGTACACTTTAAAACTTCTCTGCTTTACCTTCCCTTCCTGTTTCTGACCACACATCCTTTACTTATACCTCAAATCTACAGCCCTGAGCTTAAGGACAGTTGAAAACATGGAGGAAGAAATCTTCCTACACACTGGAAGAGGTAATTATTGGAACTAAATAACTTATGTAAACATACCTACTGTACTAAATAAGTCAGATCCTATCAGCCCAATCTTCCGGAAGAGATTTCTCAGAAAGTTTCTGACTCAGGCCATGTATACACAGACAAAACTTCATATGATGGAAACCCATTTCTCAGCTGTGAAAGTAAAGTAGAGGTTGAGCGTATGGACTGTCTATAGATTCAATGTCAGTCCTACCAATGACTACATATATGATTTGGGGGCAACTACATAATGTGTCAATGGCATGGTTCCCTCAACTGGAAAAAAAAAAAAAAAAACAAGTTCTCATGTTATAGAATATGTCATGAGATTTAAACTAGCTAATCTTCATAAAGTGCTTAGAACACTGTCTGGCACATAATAAATACCCAAGAAAGTATGTGGCTGAAAATGAAAATGATATTAGTTATGTGGTTTCAATCGATTACTAACCAGTAACACTTTAACCCAATTGTTTACTTGTATAACTGAAAATAAGTTCATGTCCTGATCATTGTGGTCATAACGGAAATAAATTCTTATTATGCTTGTTTGTTATTTCGTAATACTTGCAAGAATATGTGTTCAATCTGGAAAGGCTGCATTAGTCAGAATTGTAATCACTCCGAGAGCATTATAAAAACAAGAGCCCATCTTTCTTTCACCACAGAATTAACACAACTCTCAGACATTTTCAGCTTTATCCCAACTTCACTCAAGTAATTACAACAGCAATGAAGATCCTCTGTGTTTTCCTGACCTTTATCTTCACTGTGTCTTGTGGTCCATCAGGTAATGTATGTAATATGGAAAATAGTGAAAAGGAAAATGTTCATAAAAATGCTTTTCTCTTAAAGAAAAAAGCAAATTGACTGAAAACTCCACATGAATTTTTTATAAGCAATTTACTCTATTTTTTCCTGTAGAACTGATAATTGGGAAAAAAAGTTTTCCCCAAGATATAGAATAAAACTCACCTATTTTGTTAGTTTGTGCAATGAGACTGTGATTCTTTTGATGTTTCTGAAAATATTTTCTTTTAAAATACAATTTTTTACCTTATATTGTAGTAGTAGTAGTTATATTGTACTAATTTATAAGGGGACAAAATCTTCAGTAGATTTGCATGGACATGATCTCAGAAATAACATGGCTTAGTGCTACACTTCAGAGAACTTTTTAAAATTCATTTGCCTACCTGTCTAAGGAGATTAATCCTGGATTTATAATTATGGCTTTTTTTTTTTTTTCTCTAGTTCCACAGAAAAGAATAAGAGAAGTTGCAGAGAGAAAAAGACAATGTTTGCTTGTTCGTGGTGTTTGCAAGCCTGAGTGCAACACCTGGGAGTACGTATATAATCACTGTGATACTGAGCCCTGCTGTGTGGTGCGGCAATACCAAAAGCCAACCGCTAAACAAATTGCACTACAAACCACACAAATGTAATTCAGAATTCGAACACACCATATGATATTACATTGTAACAGTAATTATTAATAAACAGAATTCTTCCTTTCCATCAATCTATTTTCGAGTAGTGTCCTCTGGCCTTCTTGATTTCACAGTGATGTCATGGCTAGTGAGAGTGATATTGATTTAGTGAAAGAGAAAAAAATAAAGGTCAGTAGCAGCTTTATTAAATTGTCTGAACTTTTTCTCTGACTGGAGGTGAAAGTGATGACTTCCATTAAGTCATCCTTAATACTTCCCTTTACCCCTGGCCTGTCTGTTTGCTTTGTGTAGCAGTGTATTCATTTTCATGTAAACTTATCAGATGTCAACCATTGATCATGGTTTATTCAGTCTTTTCATATTTTCAATATAAATGCGTTTGGCTTTTGGATACAAAGTTGCATACATCATGATCATGTAATAGGAAAGCATTGTTAAAATAGTCATAAGAAATAACAAAGAAACAAAACTGAAGAGAGCAAAATGATCATATTAAAAATGTACCTATGGTAGTTCTATTTGAAGGTCCTTGAGGGCCCTCCATATTGTTCTCCACAATGGCTGGACCAATTTATATTCTCAACAAAAATGTGTGAGTTCTCCTTTCACCACATCCCCACCAGCATTTATCATTTGTTTGTTTGGTTGTTTGTTTAATCTTTGCCATTCTGACTGGGGTTAAGTGGTATCTCATTGTCGTTTTGATCTGCATCTCCCTTATGACGAAGAATGTTGAGCATTTGTTTCATATGCTTTTGGGCTGTTCCTACGTCTTCCATAGAGAGTTGTTATTCAGCTCATTTTCCCATCTTTTAATTGGGTTAATCATTTCCTTCTGGATAAGCTGCTTGAGTTCCCTGTGTATTCTGGTTATCAGTCTCTTATCTGAGGCATAATTCACAAAAGTGTTCTCCCACTATTTTGGCTTTCATTTATTTTCTGTATAGTTCATTTATTTTCTATTTCATTTATTTCTACTAGAATCTTTATTATTTCTTTTCTCCTGGCATTTTTTTTTTTTGGAATTCTTTTGTTGTTTTTCCAATTTCTTAAGGCATAATTTTAGGTTGTGCTTTTGCCACCTTTCCATCTTTTTCTTGTGTGCACCCATTGCTATGAACTTCCTTCTTATGACTGCTTTTGCAGTATCTCATAGATTATGGAAACCTGTGTACTAATTATCATTTGCTTCCATGAATCTTTTTTTATTTCAGACTTAATCTCTTCAGTAGCCATTAAGTCATTCAGAAGTAGATTATTTAGTTTCCAATTCCACTCCTGGGTAAATACCCAAAGGACAGGAGAATGTTCAGTTGGAAAAGCGCTTGCACAGCTATACTTATTGTGGCATTATTCACAATTGCTAAGACATGGAACCAACCCAAATGTCCACAAACAAATGGATGGACTGAAAAAGTGTGGCACATATACTCCATGGAATATTATTCAGCCACACACAAAAAAATAACAAGACTCTGGCATTTGATAGAAAGTGGATGAACATGGAAGATCTATTGCTGAGTGAAACAAGTCAGGCTATGAAACAGAGACATTGTATGTCTCCACTTAACATATACCAACTGTCTACACTCTACAATAGAGACTGAAAGACTGGAGGACATAAAAGCATTAAAAATCATTATGGACAATGGGGACAAAATGGAAGGGGAGTGGGAGAGGGGAAGAGTGCAGGGAGGGAAATTTGGGAAAATATGGAGAAGTAAGACATTTCTGTTACACAGATACGGTTTGTTGCCTGTTGGTGAGGTTGTGTATAGTAGTATCAACTCATTTACTGTGTGGCATATATCATGTGGGGTAAAATCTCTTTACAAACTAAATGATGTATAATGACTGAATGTGTAAAAATAATAAATAATACTAAATAAAAAAGTTTAAAGTGTACCTATATAAAATACATTAAAAAATCCCAGAAGAATTAAATATACTAAACCTTAAGAGTGATTATTTTGAAAAGATAGTTTCATGGTGGTTTCATTTTCTTGTTGGCAATATGTTGTTGCCATAAATATATATAATTTTATGAGCAGAATAAAAACAAACTTAAAATATCAAAAGCATTATTATAAAATAATACAAAAATTTGAAACAACACAAAAATTTCCCAATATAAAAAAAAGTTACTACTAATTCTGCCATGCAGAGATAATTATTATAATCAATATTAAACATAGGCAGCCAAAATAAAGGTCTTTTGTTGTGAGTCTCAAAAATTATATTTAACTTTATGATTCAATACTTAATGCTTCTGTGTTTCACTTTGTTGTCATTGTATTTCCAGGTTTTCATATTGTACATTAATTTCTATCATGGTATTGAATTCATTTTCACATAAACCTTTTATGAATTATCAACATCAGCAAAAATTGGCATTCAGAATTTAAAGTATCCACTGAATTTATTTCTTAAACTACAGCAACTGATCTAGACAGTATAAAAATATAGGGCAGGATTTAGACCAAAAGGACGTAAAAGATGTTTAGTGAATTTGAGGTTTAACAAGAATGGATAAGGGAGCTTCCTTAGAGCAGTAGGTATGTCAATCTCATAAAAGGGGTAATTTCCAGTCTTCTTTCTTGGAGAATTTGCCTAACAATGTGATCCTTTTCTAGGAAATACAGTAAGAAAAGCAGATTTGAAAAGGAATACTTAAAACATGTGAAGTTTAGATTTTTCTGCTACATACATATGTGAAGCTCAGGAAATAAAATGTGTTTTAAATATATATTTATGGAGCAATTAACTGGAGCAATGAAATGGTCATCCAAAAGAAGGCTACAAATTGGAAAGAAAACAACAAGAATTCTGAAACGTGAAGAAATTGCATTTGAATTATACGAAGCACTGGGGGTTTCTAAGGAGGATAAGCAAAGCCAGCCACGAATGAACTGTCATGCACTGTATCTTCTCAGGTGATGTCCCAGACACAGAAGAAAGCAGGCAATCCCATACCTCCAAATGCTGTTCTAATCTTGTCCAACACAATCCACGAGCATAATAAAATGTGTTCTTATGTTTTCAGCTATCAAATTTCAGAGTAGTTTATTACACAACAATATCAACCGTAATTGCCATTAAAATAATTGCTGAACTACAATTTTTTAAAGTAAAGTAGCAATAAGTAATAAATCATTGTTCCAGAAGTCCTGAAGTTGAGAGAAGTTAACACTGAAATAATGAAGAGATAAACCCTTCTTCATATATGAAAGAGTTGTTACATGTCAAATCTCATCAAATTGATTTACCATAATTCCAACCAAAATTTCATCAGACTTTTAAAATAGACAAACTTATTTGAAAATTGTATATGGAAATTCATGTGATTTAAAAGAGCTATAATAATTCAAAGATTTTAGAACTAAGCTGTAAAATTTATAGTACATGAATTCAGATTTTTAGTATAAAATTATAGTAATCCAAAGAATTTGTGAACCAGCAAGTGGTATGGTGGTTAAGGTGTTCGGGTCCCACATGGTCAACCATGGTTTAAATCCCAGACCTGGCAGCTTAAAAATCATGCCAGAAGTGGCCTTTTGAGCCACTCTTTCTCTGTCCTGCTCAGGCCTGCCCCTACCTTCCAGGAGTGTATTTTCACTTCTAGTTAATAAGCTTACCTTTTCCTTATGCTACTGGCATGTTTCATTCAACTCTTTGTCCAAAACATCAAGAACTTGGATATCACCACAGAGGCCCTCCCACCACAGCCCCAATATCTCACATTCTATGAATGCAAAACATACCCTGTAAAAAAACCATCATGTCAGAAGCATGTGTGTGAATACTCAAAATCCTGAGCCTAGACTGGAGGAGATGGTACTGCAGTGAGGCCATCCCCCTAGGGGAGTGATTTCTCTCTCTCTCTTTGTCTCTCTTCTAGAAAGCACACATGCTCAATGGAAAAAAATCTATTGACATTAAAAAGAATTATATAGAGAAAAGTAATATAATAGAATGTAGAGTCTAGTTACAGGCTTCAACATGCAGGGTGAGCGAGTATCTCTTATCTTAAATGCTTGGAAACAGAAGTGCTTTTGATTTTCAACTTTGTAAACGCTGGAATTTGTTTATGTACATAATGGGATATCATGGTAACAGATCCTATGTCTAAACACAAACATATTTATGCTTATATAAACCTTATACATACAACCCCAAAGTAATCTTCTACATTTTTGAATTGCAAAATTTTGACTGTGATTACGTGAGCTTAAGTGTAAAATTTTTCATTTATGGACTAATGTCGATACTGAAAGTTTCAGATTTTGGAGCATGCTGACTTTCAGATTTTCAGTTTAGGCATGCACAATCTGTATAAATTTAATATAAATATAGTACATGAAATATAATACCTAATATGTATATGTAATATGTATATATGATTAACTGAGTTTTTACAAAAATGACACCGGAATTCTAATTGATTATATCTGCATTTTGGGAGATCTTACTCTAATAAAATTTTTTGTACATACTGAGAATTCATTGGAAAATAAGACATACTATTCCTCTTTCTTGGAGTTTTCAGTTTTGTTTTTTAAAAATCACATTTTTCCTATTAAATGGTTTCCTATTGAACAATTAAAATTATATGAGAGAGTTAAAATTTCTGGTATAAGAATGTCCCCTAAAATATACTAAGATTTCTTCTTTAAGATATTAATAGTCTTCATGCATTATGCTCACAGTAAGAAAGCCCATTTAGCCTACAGTCACAGACCTTACCATGAGAATTTTTGAGGGGGAAAGATTTACACAGAGGCCAAGGACAACCCAGAATTTATCTACATAGTTCTTCATTCTACAACCATTGATTTTCCAATACTTGAGTAAAACCAACAGCATGGATATCTAAGCGCACAATAAGAAACCACACTGAACCCTGAGAAAACAGAGTTCAAGGAAAAGAACAGAATTTAATACAAAACAGGTGAACAAACAGAAACTCTCTATAATGTGTTTACAAAGCGATTTAAGAAGCCTATACATCTACAAAACAAGAATACTGCTTATGGCATAAGAATAATTATAGCACAGAAAAGAGCATTATACAGTAGATACATTTGCTTTAAAAGGCTGGAAATAAAGTTATAATTAAAATAACAAAATAATGACACAACATACATAAAACTAAGAGACAAAAATATAAAACTATAGAGGAACATTCCAATGTTTTACCAAAAGAAGTTCCTTAAACAGAGAAATATAAATAACAAATAGGATAAGAACTTTATTAGAGGAAAAAAAAGAAAAGATATCTCAGATTTGAAGAAAATTACAAGCTTAACAATGTCAGAATAACTTACAATAAAGAAAGTCACACCAAGAAATGTGTGAATCATAAAATTTGAGGCTCTGAATTGTAAGAAGAATGTCAAGAGAGAAAACTATCATTTAAAAAGAGCTATCCCAGCATTAGATTTCTTGTTATGGAGACTGGCTGCTAGAAATTAATAGAGTAATGACTTCAAAGTTAAGAAGAAACATAATTTTAAACCTAGATTTTTACATCTAAATAATTAAATTTGACGGCAGAATATGAAAGTTTTGAGCAAGAAAATTTTTTGAATTTTTTCTGAGAACATTTTTAAATAAAGAAAAGCAAGAGAAAGAAATTGTGAGATCTTGATTAAGAGTAGATTCAATGCAGGAGGGCACTTTGAGAAAATCTTAGAATGAAGTGATCCTAGGATTAAGCTATAATATTAAAATGAATTTAAAGACAGGGAATCAGCATTATTTACTTTTTGCTTATGTAAACAAAATACTGCAGGAATAAACTTTTCAATAATGTGATAATCAAATATAAAATAACTGAAGTTAAAAGACTTAAAAATATTTTTGAAAAAAATTAAAAAGGAAATATTATAGTAAACTAAAATTATAATAGTAACAATCTACTTTACCTTGAGACCAAGAGCATTTCTCTTTGATAAGAACTTCTTGTAGTCAAATATCGAAATGTTATTCTATATTTTTTCTCTTCTATTCTATGTGTCCTTATGTTGTTTTGTTATTTTAAATTTTTACTCTTTTTAAAATAATTTTTAAAGAATTTAAATTTCAGCCTTTTAAAAATAGTTTTTAAAGAATTATTTAATTTTATGTGTTATTATTATTATTTAAATTTTGACCAGAGAGAGAAAGAAAGGAAAAGTGAGAAAGCAAGCTGCCAGGTCCGGGATGCAAACCAAAGTCAGCCATGTGAAAGTCCAGTGCCTCAACCACCATGCCACCTGCCAGCCCTATTTTCAGCCTTTTTTTTAAACAAACGCATCTAATATATAAGTACCCCTTTCTGTCCACTGATTGGAAACATATAAACAGGTAGTATAATCTATATTCCTTATTTTGTTATAGTTTTTAAAAATAAAGCATAGACATTTCAATCTATAAATATTATCTTAGGTAAGATAAAAGAAAATGTGTAACAAGTGAATAAGATGCAGAAACTGGAGAGGACTGATGCAGTGGATGGCCAGCGGGCTTAACATCTACATTTTAAATTGAGAAGACTTAATATTATAACTAAAGTTGGTGGGTGGAAAATACTGATTACTGATATTTAAATGTTTGAACATAACTCAAAGAAATTTTCAAAAATTGGGAACAGCAGTTAGAGTAATGGCTATGTCACTGGACTCCCATGTAGTCAACGGTGGTTTGAGTCCCAGACCCAGCAGCTTAAACTCACACCGAGCACTTGTGCGTGTATGCCCAAGATCCCGAGAGGAGAATGGAGGATAAGTGATTGCGGCGTTGCCATCCTCCCTGGGGGGTGATTTCTCGCTTTCTGTCTGTCTCTCTGTCTTTCTGGCGAGCACACGCATCCTAAAGCAAAAAACTCGCCAAAAAAGAAAAAGGAAAATTTCAAAAATTAATATAGCTTGCAAACATTTGAGAAAGACAGTATAGGAAAGAGTATAACTAATCTAATTGCATATTTTTTCTTACTAGAACCCAACTAAGAGACATACTCCGGTTGGTAAACTAAGACAAGACATAAACTAGATCCTAATTATTTTAGTAATCACCAGAAGATCTGAAAATAGGAAGACCAAAGTGGGAAATTAATGCTATTAATTATAAAGTCTCTTCTCATTATATTGTGAGTATGCATTACATTAATACAAATTAAAAATTAGAAAAGTTACAGTTCCATGAATATTTAAGTTTCCTCTGAAAATAAAAAGAGAGTAATAAAAATTAGTAACTGGGTCAGCCTGCGACGTAGTGTTTATGGAAACCAGCTGCCACATGACTGACTGCAATTCCAATATCAGTCACCGAGCTTGAAAAAATATGCTGGGTTTGTTTGCATGCATGCTCCAAATCCTGACAGGATGGAGAAATGAAAAAGGGACTGCATTGTCACCATGCCCCATTAGAGGATACATTCTCCCTTATCTTCTCTATTTCTCTATCTCTCTCTGGCAAGTACACAAGTTCTGCAGCAAATTAAAAACAAAAATTAGTAACAAAAATGAATCTTAATATTTAGTCCCTATAAATTAATAATTTAAGAGAAGTTGTGACATAACTATATATAATTAAAGATTTGGCTACATAGACTTATTTATGAATTTGCACAGCAAATTAATCACTAGAATATATTTTGAAGAGTAATCAGTCGTTAAATGGATAAAGTTCAGTTGCTGTATTTCTGAAATGATAAATTAATATTTTCCTTAAACCTATTACATGCATGCTTCTTTGTGATGATGCTTAACCAATGATGGGAAGATGCCATGTTGACAGCCGTCATTCCCATAGAAATTCTATCCTGAAGCTCAATGATTTGTAAATGTTTACAGTTTGGGTAATTCTACCCACAGCCTTAGTCATTGGAGCAGAGACAGGTACACAAAATTAAAATAATTTCCGGATAAAGAGAGTTTCTGTTTCATTAAAAAAAAAAAAAAACTATAAATAGTGAATGTTTCTTGGATTTTTAGAAAGTGTTCTAGTCTCTAGATTCTGTTACCAAGTCCTTAAGCAGGGTCTTTCTACAAAATGAAGATCTTCCACTATCTCCTCCATTTTCTCTGTTATGTGACCTTCATTCTACCAGGTAAATAGATATTTCTGGCATATTTGTAACATATCACTTCTAACTAGAAATAGAAATATTAGGTTAATGGGAAAATTCAGATTTTTAACAAAATATTATTATTCATTAAAAATTGTCAATTATATCAAACCTTGGTTACCCAGTTAGAGTATTATGAGACTACTATACCTACCTCATTTTCAAGATTGATATGAAAACAAATGATATGGTGATGATGAGATTCTTTACCTTTTTTGGACTTTTATTTTTCTTTTTAGATATTTAAATAATTGAGAGAACTGAAACTTATTAAATGTATTTATGGGATTCAAAAGTGAAGTCCTTATAGTTATTAGGATCCAGGAAATACAGTCATTCTGAGAACAATGATATGTATTTGTTAGAATATCACTAACAGAAAATATAAGATGATCTAATATATAGTCTAAGAATATGGTGGCTCAGGAAATACAAAAGGAATAAAAAGGCAAGTAAAAAAAGAGAACTTCAACATCCTTGTCAAATTAGTTGATGTATTAGTAAAGGAACTCATCAATGAGTTAATTCAAAAGAAACAATAACCATATGTATTAAAATATAACCCCAACTGGTCATTATATTATATTCTTGTATTGTACTCTTGAGAGGTTTAGCCAATAAGATAATCTAGACACTATAAAAATGGAGATAAAATCTGTATCTATATGTGCTCTACATTGGCCTGGAGAGTTGAAATGTCAAGAAGCGTCTTATGTTTCAGAAATAACACTGGATTCAAACTAAGATCTAGGTTTTATTACTAGCTTGTTACTCAATAGCTCTGTGAACTTTGTCACTTTGAAAATAAACTTGGTCAACATCCTTCGCAGAAAACAAAGAAGAAAACAAGCACAATTTATAATAACTACAATTTAAAAACAGACATTTCATATATAATTTTCTGCCTATTATATGCAGCTAAAAAGATGCATTAGGATGTAGTGAAATAATGCATTCAGTATTCATTCTAAAAACTCATAATTAGTCTACTAATTAAGGTGCTACTGTTTTCATTATCATAATTGCTACTGCTATAGTCATAATTTATAATAGAAGGAGCCAGAGAAAGTGAGGACCTCAAAGATCCTTGGGAAAGGCCTTGAGATGCACAGTGGTGGTGTGTCCATCAGTGGACACCTCATACTGAGTGCCTAAGGCCGCCAAGCACAAGTGCTAGATGCTGAGGAAACAAATAAAACAGAGAGTCTCTAGGCATACTTACTAACTAATCAAATGAACTCAGATGAAGCAATGAATTTATGATTATCTGGATTATCTTATTGGCTATACCTCTCAAGACTATAATATAAGAATATAATATAATGACCAGCTAGGGTTATATTTCAGTACATGTGTTTATTGTTTCTTTTCAATTAATTAATAAATTCATTGATTTACAAATACATCAACTAATTTGACAAGGATGTTGAGGTTCTCCTTCTTTACTTGCCTTTTATTCCTTTTTATTCATTTAAATAGCAAGACCCATGGGATTATAGTGATGGCAGAGAATTGGGGGAATGTCCTAAATTCTCTGCTGGGAGCTTTGAGATTTGAGGTAAGATACTTGTATTCGAACCTTGGGAAGTGAAAGGGAGAAAGGCAGGACAAGAAGTAAATATGAGAGTATGGCAAACACCACTTTATAATTTTCCAGCTATATATCCAGTCTGACCCTCCTAATATTCTGAGTTCATTGTTACTGCCTCTTTTCATAGAAGATGAAAATGACATTAAGGAGAAAAATTTTCAAGGTCACACCATTGTGTGTAATAATTGGAATACAGATACAGATTTTTCAGATCCTGGCATATTTATTCTTTTGACTTCAGTGTAAAGCTTCTTTAAGATGGAACTAAGGATAGAGAAAAGGTTGAAACAATAATTTGGCTAAAAGCAGCAAGGCCCCACAGAAAGGAAATTGCACTGCAGACATATGAGGTGTACAGATCGTCAGACTTGACGTTTACTGACCACTGCTGAAAGTTTGAAATAAGACTTTCAAGTGGCCAGTGGGTGTTGTGGTGGTTAAGGTGGCTGGACCCAGCCTGGCTGAATATTGTTCAAGTCCCAGACCCAGTTGCTTAAAACTCACACTGGTCACATGTGTGTATGTGCCCAAAATCCCAGGAGGAAAATAAAGAAGAGATTACATCACGACCGTTCCTCACTGGGGGTGATTTCTCACTTTCCTTCTCACTGTCTCTCTTTCTCTCTGTCTCTCTCTGGTGCGCACACATGCACTGAAGCAAAAACTTAAAAACAAACAAAATAACTGCTTGGTTTGAGTCTTGAACCAATGGCTTAAAAATCACTCTGGGTGCATGTATGTGCATGCCCCAAATCCCAAGAGAATGGAGACAAAGGAATTGTGGCATGGCCATACCAGTTTGGGGGTGATATCTCACCCCCTGCCCTCATCTCTCTCCAGTAAGCACAAGTGTCCTAGGCAAAAAATATATAAATAAATAAATACATAAATAAAGAAACAACATTAAAAAAAAGAAAAGGCTTCAAGATATTTGGTCAAAGAATAGTAACCACAGGCTTTATTTATTTATTTTTTCTTTTTACATCTAACACATACTAAATTGTAATGTCTTCTGCCACGGACAAGTTACTTTATTTTTTCTCTTTGATAAATCAAGAGAACAAAACGAATAATCAAGGTATCAGAATGGGTGGTTTTGAAGGAGCTCATAAAAATAGTACATATGAGTGTCATATGGCTGTTGGTAAACCCTAACATTCAAAAATAATTATGAAAGAAGTTTTCAATCTAAATGACACCTTATAAAGAGGAGTGCTTGGTCCAAACAAGGTAATATCATGCAGGAAAGATCATTCGTGGAAAATTGATTTAGCCTAGCACTGGCAGTAGTTAAAACATGAAGGAATCAGCAGTCTTTTCTGGGAGCTATAAACATAAAATAATACATAGAGGTAGTAGAAATAGAGCCCTATGATGGTTTACGGAGGAGTGAGCTCATCATTATGCAAATCAGAGTTCATACTAAGACCCGGGAGTCCTTCTTAGGAAGGAACGGTTCTCTTAATTATACAATGAATGGTAATGTAATTAATTTCATAAAGTTTGCAGATTTAAAGAGAAAATGCAAGCAAATTGTTTTTCATATTTTAAGAAATTACGGAAGAGAATAGAAGTGGAAGGGAAAAAAAGAAAAGGAGAGGAAGTAGTAAAGAAGGAGTCAACGGTCGTGTCCAGGTATAACCTATGTTTTGGTTTTTGTTTGTTTGTTTTTTGCAGAGAGAGATTTTTGCTATGGGGCACGTGCACTCACCAGAAGACAGAGAAAGACAGAGAGACAGAAAGCAAGAAATCACCCCCCAGAGGGGATGGCCACGCTGCAATCACTTCTCCGTTATCCTCTCAGGATTTTAGGCACACACGCACACGTGCCCAGCGTGAGTTTTAAGCTATTGGGTCCAGGACTCAAACCATGGTTGAGTATGTGTGAGTCCAGCAATATAATCATTATGCCATCTGCTGGTCCCAGGTGTAGTCAGTTTTTAAGATGTCTCGAAATGGCCATGGATATCAGATGAGAGAATCACAATGGCTTCGCTAATTTTTCTGAGTGATTAAAGAGAGACTGGCCTGAGAGAAGGAGAGATGTTCACCTGTGAGGAAATGTTGACGAGAAGACAGTATCAGTTCTGGGGTATGTTTTACAAGTTAAAAAAAAAAAGACTCAATCAGCAAGAAATTGTGGTTATTGGGAAATATGAGGAAAATTTTAAAAAAACTACAAAAATGTAGATAACACTGTAATAGTGAGGGATAATAATATAATTTACACAAAGAGAAAATAGAGCAAAACAAACAATACAAAGGTAAGATTAGGGAGGGTTTGAACATGAAGATTTATATCAAAGAAGAGGTCTCAAAGGATATTAGAAAATAGGACAAATAAAGCTCAATGGGCCAGCTGATGGCATGTTGTGAAGGGCAGCTGGATCCCACACAGAGTCTGCCGAATAGTTCATATCCCCAGCCCTGCAGCTTGAAAACACACCAGACGAATGCGCATATATTCCCAAACTCCTGAGAGGAGAATTGAGGAGAGGGATTTGTGGCGTGGCCATCTCCTTTGGGGGTGATTCCTCACTTTCCCTCTCCCTGTCTCTCTCTGATGAGCACACACACCCAATAGCAAAAATAAGAAAAAAGATAAAGTTCAAAAGATTAGATAAATAATAAATAAATTAAATAAATAAATAAATAAATAAATAAGATAAAACTCATGGAAGATAGCTATATTAATGTTTAAGGAGTGATTAATGCAGTTACATCAACATAGCTAAAAAAAATTAAGGCTAACATGTAGCAAAAATTTAACTCATGAAGTTAGAAAATCCAATAAACCCTCAATAAGAAGCATCAAATAAGACAAAGGCGGATATTAATAAAGTAGAAGATAGTCACTAGAGAAAATAAAATGGCTACATTTTTATTTTGAAAAGATTAATAAAATTAATAAAACTAACAAAACCATAGGGAAAAAAGAGCCAGGGCAAAAATAAACCCTATCGAAGATAATAGTACACGTGATACAGATATCAAAATGATCATATAAAAAAGTTATAAACAGCTTCAGGATAGTACATTAAAAATGTATATGTGAGGCTAGCAGGTGGCATGGTGGTTAAGGCAACTGGACTCCCACATAGCCAGCTATGGTACAAGTCCTGGATCCTCTCTGGGAGGTGATTTTTTTTCCCCCCCCCCCACACACACACCCATATTGTCTATCTCTGTTTCTTTCTGGTGAGCACACATACCCTAAAGCAAAAATCCTAAGGAGGGGGGACAAAAAAGATATATATTGGGAACCAGCAGTTAGCATAATGGCTATGCTGCTGGACTCCCCTGTAGTCCACCGTGGTTTGCGTCCCGGACCAGGTGGCTTAAAACTCATGCCAGACGCGTGTGCGTGCGTGCCCAAGATCCCAAGAGGAGAATGGAGGAGAAGGGATTGTGGCGTGACCATCCCCCCGGGGGGTGATTTCTCGCTTTCTGTCTCTCTGTCTCTCTCTGGCTGGTGAACACACGCGCCCTATAGCGAAAACCTCTCCAAAAAGAAAAAAAAGATATATATTAATAATAGGAAAATATATAGTATAATAAATCAAACCAAAAAATTAGAATATCTAACTGCTTGTAATCCATTAAGGGAATAGAATTTATAATAATTAAGCCTCTAAAAATACTCAGTCAAAATGATTTCACTGTTGAATTAAGGGAGAAATAAAACCAATTATATGGGGGTCAGCAGAAGGCATAAAAGTTTCATTGCTGGGACTCTAGCAGGGCGGACTGGTTCAGGTCCCAAACCCAGTAACTTAAAATTCATGCCAGGCATGTGTGTGTGGGTGCCCAAGATCCTGGGAGGAGAATGGAGGAGAAGGGACTGTGGTGTGGCCACATCCCCTGGGGGGTAATTTCTCACTTTCCCTCTCACTATCTCTGTTTCTGTCTCTCTCACACACACCCTAAGGCGAAAACCTCTACAAAATTAAAAAGATAATTATACATAATCTTTTTCAGAGAACAGAAAATTAAAAAATGCCTCCTACTCATTTTGCGAAGTAAGTTCTTGATATTAAAACTGACAAGGACATAATAGGAAAGATGACTGAACCCTAACCTCCTTCATGATTGCAAATGCAAAAATCCTCAAGAAAAAAAGAATAAAAGCTGGCATTAAAGTCCAACAATATAAGAAATTTGCTTTAATTCCTCAATTATCAGGTTAGTATAGCATTCTAAAATCAATTTTGTCACATGAACAGATTAGAGGATAAAGTTTATGTAATTAATCAGTAGATACTTTTTGGTAATATCCATTATTTTTTAAAAATTTGCTGAATTCACAGTGAATTTAATCCCCGCAACTAATAAAATGTATTTCAAAAAAAAATACATAAACCATTCTATTAAATGTAACAAAATTTAAAAATTTCCTTGACCTTGGAAATAAAATTTGAGTGCTTTGAATGACTAATTTCAATTAATGTTGCAAGAGTCCTAACCAGTGACCTAAAAAAGGAGTGTAAATTTTTTTAAGATGTGAATAGACAAAAAGACCATCATTGTTCAGCTTCCATGATGGTGCATGCAGGAAAAGCAAAAGTATCCTCAGTAAAGTTAAAGAATTAATAAGTAAATTTATCAAGATTGTTGGACACAAAAATAAATAGAAAAATCAATTAGGAGGGGTGTTTGAGCTGGTTGATAGGAAATACTAAGTGCTTCTCTCCCTGACAGCAAAGGAGTAAGACAACAATTAGATTAATACATTTGAGTGGAATATGTAACAAGAAACACTGGAACCACCACCCAAAGGTCTGAAGTTTTGTAAAGCACAGAGATTTGAGAGGGGCAGTAAAGAACCCAACTGGTGGTAATCAGAAGACACTCTCGATTTCTGGAAAAGGATGAGAGAGAAACCATCAACACCCTTTTTACCACCTTGGACAGTTCTAGCTGTCCATAAGCCCAGCTATTTGAAAGGTCCAGGCCTGATATAGACAGTCCCTAAAATCTACGTGATTGCATAACTTCAGGAAAGGATCTCTCCCAGAATAATCTTACTTTCCAAGACCCATGCTCCTGGAGACCTGCACCATTTGGAAACAAAACCCCTGCTATTATGGAATCTACACTTAAAACTGATGGCCTACATACGCATCTTGACTTTCTTGGAAACCCACCTAAAATCCACAAAGTCTGTGTAAGTAGTTGTAGCTGCGACTACAGGCAGACTGAACAGTAGAGTCATGATCACAGTACACAACCCAGTGCAGGATCATGAATTTCAAAACATAGTCAGACCAGCACAGCAGGAAGACTGCTCTGAGGAGCAGGTGAATGAACATGAGAGCCCCCACCTTACCTGGGCTCAAACCACAGTTGGAGCACATGGCTCCTACCCCTTAGGATGCCCTCCAGGTTCTCTGTTACTGGCATGTCCTGAACAGCAGACATTGCAGTTACAAATAAAAAATCCACAACAAAGTACAAATTAACTTCAATAGCTCATCAGCAGATTATATGCTGTGATCAAGTGGGTTTTGTCCTAAGGATGCAAGGATAGTTCAACATATACAAGTCCATTACTATGACATTCCATAGCAACAAAATTAAGGGTAAAAACATGATCATCTCTGGGACCAGCAGTTAGCATAATGGCTATGTCGCTGGACTCCCACGTAGTCGACCGCGGTTCGCATCCCGGACCCGGTGGCTTGAAACTCACGCCAGGCCCATGTGCGTGCGTGCCCAAGATCCCAAGAGGAGAACAGAGGAGAAAGGATTGCTGCGTGGCCATCCTCCGTGGGGTTGATTTCTCACTTTCGCTCTCTCTGTCTCTCTCTATCATGTCATCAAGTGCATATACTTTACAGCAAGAACCTAAAAAAAACAAGAAAGAAAGGAGGAAGTCAAATTATCCATTTGCAGATAACATGATTATATATATATATATTATATATCACATATGTATATTATATATAACTATACATTATATGTTATTTCAAAAACCTCTTAGAATTAATAAAATTAAAGGAAACATCATCAAAACAGAAATCAGTAGCATTTTAATACATCAATAATGATATAGTTAAAAAAAATAAAAAAGAAAACAAGGTCTAGCAGGTGGCAAGCAGGTGGCGTGGTGATTGATGTATGGGACACCCACATGGCTGACCAAAGTTTGAGTCCTAGACCTGGTAGCTTGCTTTTCACTTTCTCTTCTCTCTCTCTCTTTCTTTCTCTTTCTCTCTCGTGTGCACACATGCCCTATAACAAAATTTAAAAACAATAATACATCATTTTTAAAAAAGAAAAAAAAGCAATAAAAAATAACTTACAATAGTCACAGAAGAAATAAAATCCCTAGAAATAAGTTTAACTGAAAAGGTAAAATTCTCCATAATGAAAACTACGAAGCACTGATGAAAGATTTTGACAATACCAGAAAATGAAGACTTCCCATGTTCATGAACTGGAAGAATAAATAGTTTTAAAATGGGGTTACCAGATAGTACAGTGGTTAAGGTGCTGGATTCCTACATGATCAATAACAGTTCAAGTCCCAGATCTGGTGGTTTAAAAACCATGCTAAGGACATGTGTGTGCATGTCCAAAATCCCAAGAGAAAAGAGAAAAAGGGATTGTGGCATGGTCATTCCCTCTGGGGAGTGATTTTTCACTTTCCTTCTCACTGTCTCTTTCTCCTTCCAAGCACACTTAAATTTTTTTAGGCAGAAAAAATTCTAAAAATTTTAAAGAAAAAATAAAATGAATAATGAAACTAGGCCTATATTTCTCATCACATGAAAAGAAATTCAAAGTAGATTAAAAACTTAAACAAAAAAACCCTGAGCCTATGAAACTACTAAAAGAAAACACAGGGGAAACACTATATGATATCAGTCTAGGATAATAGTTTTTAAACAAAACTTCAAAGTTATAGGAAGCAAATGAAAAATAAACAAACAGGTTAAACCAAACCAAAAGGTTCTGCACCCTTTAGGAAAACAATCAACAGAGTGATAAAACAATCTACAAAGTAGAAGCAAACACTTGCAGATTATATATCTAGTGAAGGATTAATAAACAGAATATGCAAGGAACTCAATTAACTCACTGACAACAGAACAAATAACCCATTAAAAATGAGTTAATGGGGCTGTCGTGGTGGTTAAAGGTTCTGGACTCTCACATGGCTGACTGTGGTTGGAGTCCCGTACCTGGTGGCTTGATTATTGACTTTCCTCTCTCTCTCTCTTGCTCTGTCCCTCTCTGGTGAAATTATATATATATATATAATCATTTTAAATAAGCAAATGACCTAAATAAATAGTTCACAAATTAATACATAAAAATAGGCAAGAGACATAAAAAAGAAAAGCTCAGCATCACTATTCATTATGAAAATGTATATTCTGAGATATTCTCTCACCCGTTTGGACAGCTATTAAGAAAAAGACAAGAAATAGCAAATGCTGGCTAGAATGCCAAGAAAGAAAGACTCTTTTACACTGTTGGTGGGAATGTGAATTAGTCCAAAAATGAAGTAGTTCCTCAAAAATCTAAAATTAGTACTGCTTTATAATACAACAAACCCACTCCTATGCATATATCAAAAAAAGAAAGAATGAAAGGAAGAGTAAGAATCAGTATGTCATAATGATATCTGCACCTTAGTGTTTACTATAGCACTATTCACAACAGCCAAAATACCAAATCAATCTAAGTGTCCAACAGACTAATGGATAAAGAAAACACATATGTGTGTGTGTGTGTGTGTGTGTGTGTGTGTGTGTGTGTGTGTATTCCCTATACAGTGTCTCTAGATATGGTCTTGTCAGATTAGAATTTCTCTGAAACTGGGACCAGGAGTGAACATAATGGCTATGTCGCTGAACTCCCATGTAGCCGACCGCGGTTCAAGTCCCTAACCTGGTGGCTTAAACTCACACCGGGCGCATGTGCATGCATGCCCAAGATCCTGAGAGGAGAATGGAAGAGAAGGGATTGCGGCATGGCCATCCCTCCTGGGGAGTGATTTCTCGCTTTCTATCTCTCTGTCTCTCTCTGTCTTTCTGGAGAGCACACGCGCCCTATCTCAAGAACCTCTCCAAAAAAATTTAAAAAAAAAGAATTTCTCTATACCAAAAATTTGGCAATATTTACCAAAGACCTGGTAACTACAAATTATTACTTCTCCAGCTATAATACACTGAACTCTTTGTGAATGAGAAGTATGTATTATATTTCTTGGCAATAATTTTAGCATTATCATAGTGCCTGAAACATATTAGAACTCAAGAAATGTTTATTGGATCATTCTTTGTTGTAATGAAAAAAAAAATCCATTAGATTTCTATATATTAATGTCAAGAACAAAATACCAATCATAAAAGAATAACTCTAAGGAAAGATACATAGGATCCTTGATGCCCTTGAGGGTACCCATGTGAGGAGGCTTGCTCACTGCTGCTGAGGTGTGCCACACATCCGTCGCCTCCTACCTGCTGTCCGCCCTCAGAGGCAATAGCTTCCTCAGAGTCAAGGACTTCAAGAAGATCCTAGACAGCGTGGGCATCAAGACAGACCACAACCAGCTCAACAAGGTCATCAGTGAGCTGAACGGAAAGAACATGAAGGATGTCATTGCCCACGGCATTGGCAAGCTTGCAGCGTTCCCACTGGCGTGGCAGTGGCACTCTGCTGCCCTGGGCTCTGCAGCCCCTGCTGCTGGTTCTGCTTCTGCTGCAACTGAAGAGGAGAAAGTCGAGAAAGGGGAGTCTGGAAAGTCAAATGACGACATGGGATTTGGCTTATTTGATTAAACTCTTGCTCCTCTGTAAATAAAGCCTTTTTACATATTAAAAAAGGGGAAAAGAGAAAGATATAGATATCTTATATTCAGAGAGTTATAAAATACTATTATGAGATTAAAGAATTTCTAAGTTCAAGGAGGGATATGCCATATTAATTAATTGAAAAATTCATTGTTGTAAAGGTATCAATATTATCCAATTTAATCCATAGCATTAGCACATAATAAAAGGTATCATTTGTTTTGAGAAATAATACATAGTAATTCTGACATTAGTATACAGTAATTAAGGAGCCAGACCCATAGCCTAATAATTAAGAAAATCAGATCCTACATGGCCAATCACAGTTTTCTTCCCAACCCCAGGAGCTTCCAAAACACTCTGAGTGATTGTGCACGTGTGTGCCGAATCCTGACAAAATTGAAATGGAGAAAGCATTGAGACATGGCCATGCCCTTCTTGTGGGTGCTTCCTTCCTTCCGCTCCCTTTCTCTGTATTTCTGTCTCTCTCAAGTGCAAGTGCCCTATTGCAGTTGTTAGAAAAATAAAAGAGAGAGAGAGAGAACTGGAACAAAAAAAAGAAAGAAAAAAGAGAAAAAATAATAAGACATACTGTCAAGGAAAGAAGGAGGTGGGTTGATTTCCTCAACAAGACAATGTTATATAGAAAAGAAAATTATATAAATAGAGCAGAATACAAAATCTAGAAATAGAATCCATACTATAGACATCTAATTAATGATAAATATGGCATTGCAGAACAATATGACAAATACAATCTTTGATAAGTGGGGCTGGTTTTATTGCATAGTCATATGAGAAAAATAAATAAATTTAACCCCTAACATTTGCCATAGCCAAAACCCAATCCTAAACAAACAGTAGATGTAAACATGAAATAGAAAAAGATAAACCATACAAGTTAGCACAGGAGAATTTATTAATGATCATGGCTAAGGAATAATGTTTCTTAGTAAGTGTGAAACAACAGCACTGACTCATTTCTAATTAGGATATTTTTATAAATCAAAAACCTCATTGGCTGGTTATTAGTGATGGTGGTTAAGTTAGCTGGATCTCACATATCTGACTATGCAGTTTGAGTCCTGATCCCGTGACTTAGAAAGCATGCTGTGCACATGTGCATGCTTCCCCAAAATCCCAAGGGAAGAAATGCGGAAGAAGGAATTGCAACATGGCCATCCACCTTGGGGAGTGCTTTCTCACTTTCCTTGTCTCTCTTTTTTATTTCTCTCTCTCTCTGGTGACAGCACGTGGCCTATAGCAAAACTGAAAAAACAAAGCAACATCAACAACAACAAAAAGCTATTTGTGTAAAAAGACAAGCTCGACACTGAAAAAAATATTTGTAATGTATTTGACAAGCAAAAGGTACATAACCAGAATGTATAAATAATTCATGCAAAAAAAATATAAAAAAAGAGCAGGCACACAATAGAAATACGGGCAAAATGGACTACTTTCTAAAACAGGGATGCCTACAGTGTCAATAAACATAAGAAAGAATGAAATACCTCTTAGGAAACAGAAAAATGAACATTTTTATTATAAAATATAAGGTTAGAGGGACCAGCAGATGGCAAATGGTTATGTCATTGGACTTCCACATGGTCGACCGTGGTTCTAGTCCCATACCCAGTGACTTGAACTCATGCCATGTGCACACGTGTCTAAGATCCTGAGAGCAGAATGGAGGAGAAGGGATTGCAGCATGGCCATCCCCCTGCCAGAGGGTGTCCTCTCACCTTCTGTCTTTGTCTTTCTAGAGAGTGCACATGCCCTATAGCACAAAGTATCTCTCTTTTAAAAAATTAGATGTATGAATTATCATTATATTCCTATCAGAATACCAGGTTAAAAATATCAACCATTAATAAGATTTTAGAATGTCTGGAACTATCCTATAGTGCTGCTGGTCTATGTTATCACAAATAACATAGCTAGTTATATTGGCATTAGCTAGTAATATTGAAGCTGTACAAACACATTACCCTTATATCCTACTTTTGGAGATATGCCAACAGCAATACATGAACATGTGCCCCAGAGTCAAATACAAGAATATCCAAAAACTAGAAGTGACTTAAATGTTCATCAAGGGGTAGGACTAAATATAGTACATGTACAGGCCATGCCACAGTTCCTTCTCCTCCATTCTCCTGGGATTTTGGACATGTGTGCACATACATCCATATGATTTTCAAGCTGTCAGGAACTCCCACAGTCGGCCTTGTGGGAATCCAGTACCCTATTTACCACACCAACTATTGGCCCTTATGCTTAATTTTTAATTATACTCTTTGCTGAGCATTTGTGTTTGGATATTCTCAAATCTCATATATTAAAGGACCAGCAGTTGGCATAATGGCTATGTTGCTGGACTCCCACGTAGTCGACCGCGATTCGTGTCCCGGACCCGATGGCTTAAAACTCACTCCGGGTGCGTGTGCGTTTGTGCCCAAGATCCCGAGAGGAGAATGGAGGAGAAGGGATTGCGGCGTGGCCATCCCCCCGGGGGGTGATTTCTCTTTTTCTGTCTCTCTGTCTCTCTCTGTCTGGCGAGCGCATGCGCCCTACAGCAAAAACCTCTCCAAAAAAAAAGAGAAAAACCTCATATATTAAGAAACAAGTGTGGTATGTTACATATGCTTTTTCTATAATATATTTTGTTAGTCTAAGCTGTAAGCTGTTTCTATTTAAAAATCATTGTATATCCATGAAATATATCAGAGGAGATCTATAATTTGTGAAAATTTAGAATATCACAACATTAATTAAGAATTTAACACAAATCATTACAAGTCATGGAGAGAATATTTCAATAGTGTGGAATTTAATCATGTAGGTGGAATGAAGTTAGCTACCTATCTGAAAATTTTAATCAGTGTAAAGGAAAGAATATTATAACTAAAATCTTATAATGAAAAAGATTTATGAAGAATATTTTACTGTAAATGTGAAATAATTCATCAAAAATGGATAACATTTTAGTATATTCATATATGAAAAAATATGTTTTATGTTTTTTAAAATAAGTATGTATTTATATTGTAGTAAAGTTATATTTTTTCTTAGAGATTTTCACATGCGCTTGCTGGAAAGACAGAGACAGAGAGACAGAAAGTGAGAAATCATCCCCACAGGAAGTATGGCCACACAGCAATCTCTTCGCCTCCATTCTCCTCTCGGGATCTTGGGCACGCACACAAACATGTCCAGCATGAATTTAAGCTGCTGGGCCCAAGACTCGAACTACAGTTGAGTACGTGAGAGTCCAGCAACATAACCATTACACCATCTGCTGGTACCATGTAGTAAAACTATTAGCTAAAAACCACCACTAACAAAAGCAATTAAGAAAGAACAATTTGTGAAAAATATAACAGAAAAAGATGTTATTCATAGTATATAAGCAACTCTATGGATTCATTCAGATTTTTAAAATAATGATATTGCAAACATAATCAACAAAATTTATGAACAATTGGGTTTTTTTAAAATTATTCAACCAAAAAACACATTAAAATTACAATAAATATCATTTGGGAGCAGAAACTACATATATTGGTTGAAGCATAAATTAAAACCCTAATATCAATTTTTTTTGCTACTCTCCTGAAGCTCTAGCAGATAGATGAAATATTCATTTGTGTACAATAATTGTAAAATGACAAAACTTTATATATGACCTAATTTTTAAAAAAGTAGCTAAAAATCTGAATAATTTATCCCATAAGAAAACTTGCAGAAGTTCATAAAAAAATTAAAGTACATGTTTAATTTGGTGCAAAAATGTTTTAAATTCACACATAATTTTTTTCATAATACCCATTTTCCATGAACTTTTTGAAAAACTCTCATCTATAATTTCAAGGGAATATTATGGAGGTCTCCAAAAATCATGTATCTTGTTGAAAATAATAACATATGTCACAAAATTATACATATATATTAATATTTTTGGCATTTCCTAAAATTGGAAAAATGTATACAGAATACTTTTTGTAATCATAAAAATACATGTTTAAGGATCAGTAATTTCAGTTATTCTTCTTTTACTGTAGCCACATGTAGCTTGGTGGATCCTGATCGTTGCTCAAAACTTAAAGGTGTCTGTAGGAGAAACTGCCTTTTCAGAGAAAAGCAAATTGATGTATGTTTTTCACCACGTAAGATTTGCTGCATGGATAGGCTACCTGAAGATGATTAAGTATTTTGAAAAGGAAGACACACCTCTGAACAATGAAGTTGTATGTGCGCCAGTGCAGAGATTCAAAGGGATGTAACTAGAGCTTCTAAAATAAATAATAAAACACGTGAAACCAATATTGCTATCTTCCTTTCTAAGTGTTAAATGGAATGAAATAGTAACTTAATTTCTTTAAACTAGAAAATTTAATAGAAGGATATCTGGAACTAATTTTCTATCATACAAATATCATGTTTGCTTCAAATTTGAATTTTCCTATAGGACATAGGCACTCACGGGATGCGGGGGTGGGAGAAAGTGAGAAATTACCCCCCCAAGAAGGACTGGCCACACCACAACCCCTTCTCCTCCAGTCTCCTCTAAGGATTTTGGGCATGCACGCACACACACACCAGCATGATTTTCAAGCCACTGGGTCTGGGACAGCCAAAGTCTGTACAATGTAGGATAAGGACAGAAGTAGGAGGATCAGATTGAACTTTGAGAAGGAAAGATAGAAAAGTATAAAGAGCTCCAGGTTTTAAAATGTTGAATGCAACAAGAAATAAGGCAAATGACTCAAAATGTACATTAAAATTTTGAGAAAGGAAATTCTGGAAGGATGGTGACAGTAACAGTTGTTTAAAACAAAGTAAGAAAGTAACAAAACCACAGCCAGGGGGAAATTTTACCACAAGTTTGTCACATGAAATCTCCTCATAACAGACAAAAGAGTGGGAAAAAAATATTTTAAAAAGAAAGACAATAAAACAACCCACCATAGCCACAAGGTCTATGTGGAAGATGTCTTAGACGAAGGAATATAGGACTTCCAATGAGCCTTTGACTAAGAAAAGCCCCATCGTGATAACAGCTTTCATTGGGAAAAATAGCACACTAATTCCATTACAGCAGTTATAACAGGGAGGGTTTTTTTAATACAGTAGTGAGTTAGAAAACTGATACATAGCAATGACTGAGGGGGTTGGAGAAGTCTGCATTACGAACTTCGGAAACTGAAACGGCTCATTTCCAAAAGCATCTCAAACATTAAGCGAAAAACTTCTGGGAATAGAAACCAAGTTATGTAGGACAGAGAGTATGAGGAATGGAAAATTGAGTTTTGCTCATGTCTGTAGTCAGTAATGGATCCAGTCCAGAATCTCCAACACTCAATATACTAATTCAATTTACTAATTAGAGATTAGGAATAAACAAAAAGAGAGAGTTAGACAGTACCATGTACTTGCTTGTTATTCGACACTGGACTGTGCTTTGACTCTTATTCATGGCCTCTCTATTAGATCCACAACTAAATTATGAGTAAATTGTGAAGGTTTACAAAATAGTATGCCCTTTTCCTTTCTTTTCAAAATTAGAATAGGCTTGTAATTATAGTAGGCATTAGTCAATAAATGTTGGAAAATAATAAAACAGTTATCACATACTTTATATTCTGTCTTAAGAAAGCATAATTTTGTTTAAAATTTTATTTTTTTTTTATTTAATATGAGTGCTAAACTGGAAAATGGGATTCTGTAAGGCATTTCTGGTTGTAATCCCAGAGTACTCACTGACTCACGTAATCTTGGACAAATCACTAAACTAGGAGTCTCAGTTTTCTCACCCATATACAATTATGATACGATACGGAAACACAAAACTATAGACTATGTCATTCCATCCTCCAAATGAGAATTTTCACCTTTATTTATATATTTCTCATTCTTTAGGGTGGTTCTTACACTCAGTCCACAGCAATACCAACAAGAGGGAAGTAGAGAAGGGCTGGTTAATCGGTACAGAAATGCAGCTAGGTGGGACGATTAAGTCCTAATGTTCTACAGTCTTGTGAGATGATTATGTTAACAACAATTTATGGGACCAGCAGTTAGCATGATGGCTATGTCGCTGAACTCCCATGTAGTTGACCACAGTTCAAGTCCCAGACCCAGTGGCTTAAACTCACGCTGGGCGTGTGTGTGTGCATGCCCAAGATCCTGAGAGAATGGAGGAGAAGGGATTGCAGCGTGGCCATCCCCCCGGGTGGTGATTTCTCGCTTTCTGTCTCTCTGTCTCTGTCTTTCTGGTGAGCGCATGCACCCTATAGCAAAAAAATTTCTCCAAAAAAAATTTAACATATTTCAAAATATCTAAAACAAAGAATTTTAAATGTTACCAATATAAAAAGAAAAGATAAATATTTGAGGTGCTAGATGTTAATACCATGATTTGATCATCACACATCATACACATATACTAAAATATCACACTTTAACACATAAATATGTGCAAATATCATGTGTCAATTTAAATAAAAAATAAATATAAATTTCTTTACTTCTTTTCCTTTCTAACCCATTCTGATTTTCTGAGAGTTTCCTCTCATTGGTGGTGAAAGTGAATATGGGAAGAAGATAAAATAAAGATAAAGAAAATAAGAGTACAACTTAAATTCTCACAGCCATGAATATTGCAGAATTTTTGTTTAAGTAATTATAAACATAGAGTGGTGATTAAGTGGGTTTAAAATTATGACAGGTGCTAGTTTGACCCTCCCAAAATGGCTTTCTGTCACGAGTTCTACTTGTCCATGTTAAGTTAGATATTTACGTAGAAATCAAACAGACAGTTAGATATTTGTCCAAAGCTTAACGGTAATGGTTGAGCCTAGGAATCATAAACTTCTAGATCTTATCTGAAACCATAAGACTGAATGATATTTTCTTGGGAATCAGAAAAGATATAGTTTCTAAAACAACCTTCAAGCCTTCACCAAAGAGTTTTATGAATTATTCAGGAATAAAATCACGAAGGGAATAGAAAACGAAAGGCTATAATCTTTCATGCAATTGCGAAGCTAAGAATGTTATAGGTAATAATGTACAATCTGATTTTTGCTCCTGGAAATCCTTATTTCCTAAGTGGTAACTCTTGGTACCTAATTTGAAGTATCTCAAGTGCAGAAATAGCATTCTATCAGAGCTACCCTTCCCATGTCCAGTATCACAGTGAAATCTTTTATTAGAGTGTAACTGTTCACATTACATAAATAATTTAATTTTAAAATGTCACAGAAACTCAGTGGGTCTATGTGAGGCATTATGTATCAAACAAAATTTAGACTGCATGGAGAAGTATATTATGTATTTGTTTATTGTCCAGTCAGTGCACAGCAAAATTCTTCATAAAGTCCAGGCAACATTTCTTCATGTCTGCCATTAATGCCCTTTAGATAGGAATCCCAGTTTCCCAAGACATCTAGTCAACAGTACAGCATTTTGGGTAAGGCTAGAAGATAGGACATCTGTCCACATTGTCAGAGGTCTTCTTAGGTCCCACCAGAGCTTTGAACACCTCATTCAGATAGCACTGCAACCCTGACAAGTCCAAGGCAGCATAAGAAAACTTGAGGAAATTTATAGAAAAGCACTCCAAAACACAGATGTAGTGAAGGAGCACCCTCTGGAACAGGATCCAGCTCGGGGTCTTCTCTTCCTAAACTATCAATGTCATATTACATGTTAGAGCAATTAAATATGACCAAAGAAATTTGTCATCTGGTATGTTTACAGTTATCTTCACTCTATCTAGGTATTTCAATTCTCAATGAACTGACACTATTCTTCCTGTATAATCACTTCTTGCAGAGAGCATATGTGATTTGATGATAAGAAAAGCCTCAAAGTTTTTTATTATCTTATTTAATACTCTTATTTTTCCAAATCACTTTTGAGCTATTTCGAAGGTGACCAAGAGGCAGTTTTAAATATTCCTGGATAAATGGATGTTTTTGGAACACAGAGATTCATAGAAACTTACAAAGAGCCTCAATTTAGTCTGATATGTTCAAGTTCATAAACTACTGAAGATACATAAATGATACACACACACACACAGAAAGAGAGAGAGAGAGAAATCCACTTTTTAATGGCGTCATAGTTTATCGTGCCGTAAAGTCATCCTAAATTGATTGTTAACCATTGCTTTAGTTATGCTCATTTGAATTTTTAGGATTTTTACTGTTGCACTGACTATCTGTGTACATATGACTTTGTGCATAGTTTTGAGCATACTATCTGTAAAAGGAATATAAAAATGTAAAATTACCAAATCAAAATATATGTGTGTGTTTAGTGTTTGTACTCTGTTAGACTGCTGTGACTGTCCACCCACCATGGGTACCCTATTCATGACAGTTCTGTTCTATGATAAGAAAAAGACAACATGTGATTATCAAAAGTATCGTAATTGTATTCATTTATATTTTCCTAATTCCAAGTGAGTTAAATATTTTTAATAAATTAGTTGGATTAAACATGTGATTATAAAAAATATTCACAACTGTATTCATTTATATTTTAATTCCTGGTGAGTTAAATATCTTGCATACATTGGTTGGATAAAACGTGATTATAAAAATATTCATAATGGTTTTTATCTATATTTTCCTAATTCAAAGTGAACTAAATATTTTGAATACATTGGTTGGATTTTAGTACATCCTTTTCTGTGATTTGCTTTCCGTAGCCTCAATTTAGAGTTTTAAGTGTTTTAAAAAACAAACAAATAAATTTTGCATTTACTCTTTATGCATATTTTATAGAAACTCTTTGGCTGTGATATGTTGCACATATTTTATTCAAACTTCACTTTTAATCATAAAGAAATTTTGTTTTTATATGGTTAAGTTGTATCAATTTTATATGCTTTTTAAAGCATTTTTTTCTTTCTTAGAAAGGTCTTCTCTATGACAAAATTATAAAATGTTTCCACATATGGCGTGCGTGGCAGAGGCCGGCAGCCGCGCGCACGGCGGGGGCC